ATGCGTTTTTAAAATTTATCTCTCACTTCTAACTTATTTGAATGATGGACAGAGAATATGGTCTGAATAACACTGATTCACTGAAATTTGCTGAGACTTACAGTCTTGTATATAGTTAACTTTTGAGGATGTTCCATGTGTATTTGAAAGAATGCATATTCTCCAATTTTGGTACAGAGTTCTGCATTTTCATTCATGTGCTCAACAAATTACTGAGTGTTTGCTTTGTACCAGGCACTGTTATAGGTAAAGGGGATAGAGCAGTTGCAAAATAGATAAATATCCCTGTTTCCAAGACTTTCATTCTAGGAGGGTAAGGCAGGCAATAAACAAAATAAGTAAGTAAAGTATAATAATAATAATTGTAAAAGCGTATATAGTCTTACTATCTGCCAGGCATCATTCTAAATGCTACATTGATATGGACTCATTACTTCTCATAACAATAAGAGATAGGGACCATTATTATTCCCATTTTAGAGTTGAGGATAATATGATACAGGGAGATTAAATAATCTGACCAAAGGTATACACCTAATAAATGGCAGGGCTAGGATTCAAATCCAGGCAGTCAGATACTAGAATATGAGAATCAGAATGTAAAATAACCATACATAAATTTTTAAAAAGAGACAGAATGAAAATAAGAGACTACTGACAAAGAAAGAAGGCAATTTTTAAAAAAAGAACTAACTAGAACTTTTTTTTAAGTAGGCTCCATGCCCAACGTGGGGCCTGAACTCATGACCCTGAGATCAAGAGTCACATGTTCTACTGACTGAGCCAGCCAGGCTCCCCAACTAGAACTTTGTAAAATAAAAACACTTGTGGATGGGTTAAGCAGAAGATTATAATTTTTTAAAAGATATATTTCTTTTTAGAGAGAGAGAGAGCACAAGTGGGACAGGCAGAGGAAGAGGGAGAATCTCAAGCAGACGCCCTGCTGAGCACGGAGCCCGACGCTGGGCTGGACCCCACGACCCTGAGATCACGACCTGGGCTGAATGCGTAACCGACTATGCCACCTAGGTGCCCCTAGATAATCTGAAGAGAAAATTAGTAAGTCGGACCTGAGGCTATCACACAGTGTACAACACAGAGACAACAAGATGGAAATATCAAAGAGAATAGTAACCTCCCAAAGTGAAAGTCTAGTATATGTCTACTTGGAGTCCAAAAAGGAAAGATGGAAAAGAATGGAGGAGAGGAGATATTTGGAGAGATAAAAGCTGAGAATTTACAGAAAAATGCACATAAACACATTTGTGCAAATGTTTCCATGGATACTCTCTGGATATCCATGGAGCCTATCTAGGTTAAGGACCCCTGTGTAACAGGCACTGCTAATTGCCTATTCACATTCTTTCTCCTCTTCTCCTATTTATGACCCCAAGTTTATTTGGGGTAGCAGCTACCTTATTCCTTGGGATGGCCATGTGACTCAGTTCTGGACAATGAGATAAAAAGCTTAGGGAAAAGAAATAAACTCAGTTGACCTGTGTCTTTTACCTTTTGCCCTTCACCATCCTGCTTGGAACGTGAAGGCAATGCTCGGAGCCTCGGCAGCTATCTTGTGACCATGTGGAGGGAAGCTTATGCTAAGGATGGTCAAATAGAAGACAGGAAGCCCAAATGCTCTTTGTGGATCAACTACTTCCAGATTTGGTGTATAAGGACAATAACTCCATCCTTAAAGCCACCATGATGAGGTTTCTACTAAACACAACCCCCCCTGCCTTCCATCTACCCCCACAGCACCAGACAGTCCCAATCACCCCTGCCTTCCATCTACCCCCACAGCAGCAGACAGTCCCCAGGCCAGGGAGAGATAGAAAGTTACAGATCAGTAAATATCTGTGTTCACTTTAGGATTCAGCCTTTTAAGAAACAGTCACTGTTTCTTGTTCCATGACACCATTTTCAGCCCAGAGAAAAACCAAGAATAGTGAGAAAACCATTTTAAACAGGAGCTTTTTCTCTACCACCATAAACCTTTTTTTAGAATGATATTCTTTTAGGAAAATGTTCCCTTGCCATCCTGGACTCCTTCTGTTCCTCGAACAGCGCCCAAACCACAAAGTGCCGACTGAGATATGACGCTGGGATATGGTAAAGGCCTGCGCTTCCTTCTCCCTAATGTCTGATCTGTTCATTTTTTCCTTCTTCCTCCCACCTCGTGTTTTCGTTCTCCTTTTCCCCCTTGCCTTTCCCTCTTCCGTCCCTGAACCCCACCATCTGGATGCTGCTCAGTCCAGGTGAAGGCATGGCTGGCCTCTGGCTCTGAGGCTTCTGGTGAGATTAGGGCAAGGAAACATCTCAAAGCCTCTCACTGCTGTATCTTGGAACTTACCCAGTGGTGGCCACCTGACCGGCTCAAGGAGATGAGTCAGAACTTACCCCAGGCACAGAGCCATGCAAATGCCTTTTTCAAAATGAGTAATTCACCTACCATACTGAATAAGAGCCTCCAGATGTCATAGTATCACAGTGCAAACAATGAAGTCTTCATTTTCAAATATGGCATTGAAATGATGGTACCAGTCTTTTTCTTTCCCTATCCCTCTCTTTTTTCTTCTTTTGTTTCTTTCTTTCCTTCTTTCTTTCTCTTTTTCTTTCTCTCTATTCCTTCCTTCCTTCCTGCAACAGTAGCAATCATTTTATTCTCACTTGCTCCAAGAATTGCCCATGAAGGTATTAGGTGAAGTCTCCCTCTTTTAGGAAATCTGACGTTGCATAAATCAAGGCTTCTAGCCATACCAATGTATACCATGAAAGACTCTTGATTTTGCAAATACGGCAAAGGAATCTGCTTGGGAAGCAGATGTATCTGTTCTTCTCTCCTTTCCCATTTATATGAAGGAAGGACAGTGAAAAGAAGAGAACATAGTCCAGTGTTAAGATGAGCAGGCCCCATAGATAAGCAGAGAGTTAGGGACTTTCAGCTACTAATGGAACATGGAAGGAGCACTCTGGAGATCCAGCTGTACTAGTAAATTAAACACTTCTGGAAATTGCCAGTGTCTGGATTAGAAACAGTCATAAAAGCTGCTGTGCCATTCTGAACTAAGTGATTTCTAAGCAAAGGCCTACTTTTAAATTCCTTTGAAGAAAGGGAAACAATGATTATTTTATTTTATTTATTTTTTTTTTTTTTAAAGATTTTATTTATTTATTTGAACAGAGAGAGACACAGCGAGAGAGGGAACACAAGCAGGGGGCGTGGGAGAGGGAGAAGCAGACTCCCTGCCGAGCAGGGAGCCCGATGCGGGACTCGATCCTGGGACTCCAGGATCATGACCTGAGCCGAAGGCAGTCGCTCAACCAACTGAGCCACCCAGGCGCCCAACAATGATTATTTTAAAAACAAATGTTGTCTTTAAAATTTGGAAAGTAGGGGGGCACCTGGGTGGCTCAGTCGGTTAATCATCCAACTCCTGATCTCAGCTCAGGTCTTGATCTCAGGGTCGTGAGTTTAAGCCCTGTGTTGGGCTCCACGCTGTGTGTAGAGCCTACTTAAAATGTGGAAAGCAGCATAGTCAGTGGGGTCCTTAAATCTAGTAATCCTTCCTTCTCCCTGGATCTACCCCTACCACAAAGCAAAGAAGCACAGAAACACCTGCCAAGGGGTGCCTGGGTGGCTCAGTCAGTTAAGCGTCTGCCTTCGGCTTGGGTTGTGATCTTGGGGTCCTGGGATCTAGCCCCACGTGGGGCTCCCTGCTCAGCGGGGAGTCTGCTTCTCCCTCTCCTTCTACCTGCCCCTCCGCCTGCTTGTGCTCTCTCTGTCAAATAAATAAATAAATAAAATCTTAAAAAAAAAAAAGAAACACCTTCCAAAGACAGGTCAGTTATTCTGAAAATCAATTAAATTATTTATACCCTTTGAAATAAGCATTTCAAAGGGAAACCTAGAAAAAGTCAATTATAAGCCATGGTACTGAACAGCTTATTGGTTAAATCAGGCTCTTTGTCTTTCTGTTTTGCTAATGGTGTGGACTTTTGACTTTCCTAATCATTAACTTTGGCTATCGAGGGAGATCCCCCTGGACTTGGTTTGTTCATACTTTTTTGAGTGATATTTCCCCCAGCTTAATGGCCTAAAAGCATAATGAGGTGAATGAATCACAAGTAATAATAATTTAAAAAATCTAGTCAGGAACACAACTGGACTCATTACCATGAAGAAGTAGCATTCTGACAAAGAAAGGAAATGACCCAGGAACAGGGGAGAATCCATTATGACTACCATGTACGTGTACTGTTTACTACATGCCAGGCACTATTGTAAGCACTTGCATGTATTCCCTCATTTAGTCCTACTAAAAACATTTTACAGAGAGGCTAAGTAATTTGCTTAAAGTCACACAGCTAGGAGTGGGCAAGCTGGTATGTCACCAAGGCAGCCTGGTTTGAGGCTGGACTTGAGCCTGGACTGCCTCTGCCCTTTCAAGGAAAGGAAGTGGGAAAGTCATGGAAAGACATTAAATGTACATAAAGAAAGGGACATTAATATTTCTAAATGCACACTAATCAGTGTATCAAATAACCAGAGACTAAGTTTAAAACAATGGACATTTCTTCCCTTACGGTTTTGGAGGCCAGAGTCCAAGATCAAGGTGTCAGCAGGACCACACTCCTCCTGGTGGCGCTAAGGGAGGACACTTCCTTGCCTCTCTCCCAGCTTGTGGCGGCTCCCGGCGTGCCTTCGCTTGTGGCAGCCCAACTCCAATCTCTGTCTCCACCTCTGCAGGGCCTGTGTCTCTCCCCTGTGTGTGTCTCTTATAAGGGCACCTGTCACTGGTGTAGGGCCCACCTGGATAATCCAGGATGATCTCACCTCAAGATCTTTAACTTAGTAACATCTGCAAAGATCCCTTTATCCAAATAAAGCCACATTCACAGGTTCTGGAGGTTAAGATGTGAACATATCGTTTTGGTGACCACTGTTTAACCCACTATAGTCAACGAGGACTTCACGGTGTTGTAAGAAATAGAAAACTCACCTAAACCTGGCTGAAATAACAAAGCAGATCTCTTGGCTCATTTGGCTGAATGGTCCAGGGGAGGTCAAGCTTCAGGTAAGGTGTGCAGGACTGGCTCCATCCTCAGGCAGGCTCTTCCCTTACCGTCTGAAAGGGCTGTCAGTGGCTTCTGGGGTCACATATTTCCTGTTTAAGTCCACACGGATGAGAGAAGCTTCTCCCTCCCAGAAACCCCAGCCCATGTTCCCGTGCCTCCCATCAGCTCTGCCTAAGTGGTGTGCCCATCAGTAGACCTATCCCTGTGACTAGGGTTGGGGCGCGGGTATGTCGGCTGCCCTAAGACAATCAGGAACCGCGCCTGGAGGTACACATGGGGTCCCCCACTCAGGATGTGTGGCTGCCAGCAGGAGAGTCCCCAACTTAAAATCAAGGTACTGTTAGGAGGTGACCAACAAAGGTCCGCTCTGGGCCCTCGGTCGACTTTCTCAGGTGGGTGTGGCTTCTTTCATTTTACAAATGTTGAAATGGAAGTTCAGAAATAGGGGCTAACTTGGTCAAAGTCACGCACTGAGAAGAGGGGCAGAACCAGGACTGAAAATGAAAATTAAAAAAAACGTCAAGGGGAATCACAACCACCACACAGCCCTCCTGAGCGGGAAAACGAGAACCACAACACAAAAATTAAATCCCGCCTCACCTTTCACTTCGCTTGACGGCCACTTGTCGCTTCATGTCCCGAACTGTGGGAGTCGTGGCGTCGTGGCTCCCCGCGCCGAAGAGCCATGCTCAGGGAGCTCCGGCATCTTGTCTCCGGCCTCTCTGGTCTCGGCTGCGGAAGCAAGAGGACGAAGGAGGCGTCGTCGGGTGGACGGCGTGGCAGGAAGACCCACAGGTTGTGCCACCGCGGTGGCTCTGCCACCTTCGGGAGTCGGCCTGTGGCAGAGGTGGCGACCCTGGCGAGCGGAAGAGAAAGTACAGCGGGAGCGCCAAGCCCAACCGACGAGGCACCACCTGCGCCAAAATGGGGCCCGAAAGGCCGTGTGCGGCGCATGCGCGCGTGGCTTCTGTGAGGGAGGAGCTCCCATCTCCGCCCGGCAGCGCGCCGCGTGCAGGTCATCTCAAGGATTTCAGGGATTAGTCGCACAGTAAATGCCCTGGGTAAAAAAAAAAAAAAAAGCGATATTCAGTATATTCGTTTCTGCTTTCCCCATTGTATCAGTGAGAAAATTCTCTTCAGGACTCCCCGAGCCTGGCTCCCTGGTCGTTTGTCCTTTCACAGAGGCAGGCCAACCATTCTGGTACCACCGGGCGAGAGAAGTGACTGCAGCATCCAGTCCTGCGGAGGGTGGGTTTGCCAGCGCCACGGAGTTGTGTTTTATAAGACTTATTACTATAGAAGGAGCTTGAAAGGTTTTCCAGTTTGGGGGCGCCTG